CGTCCTGCCCCGATTGAGCAGAATCATTCGAGCTACAACCACAATATAGCTGCAGCGTGGCTCTACCATGTAAAAAACCAAACAGCATGCTTATAAATATTCAACTTAATATGACAATATAGACGTAATCATTATTAAAACGAGAAATAAAAGTTTATTTCTTTTGAAATATTCAACAATTAAAATTACAAAAAGATTTTTGGGATTTTAATGGTGAATGAATAATTTACCGAAATTTCGATCGGGCGATTAGAATTAGGTATTACTTTAAATTATTTATAGAAAAATATATTTATAGCGGTAGCATAGGTTCTAAATAATTATTCTTGGAAAGAAACCTGCGAGGATTTTCTAATAGATGAATCATTGTCGTGAAGCGAAGTATTGGCAATTTCTGCCTTAATTAATCATACTAGTGTCATTGTAGTTACCGATATGAGTAATGCAAGTTGGCGTAGCTTAAATTTAAAAGACTGTTTATTAAACACAATCAAATGTAAATAAAGATTATACTCTTCATTAATTTTTATAATATTTACGCGAGTACTATATTTGTTAAAGTTAAAGTAATCTTACGGATTTATCGCGTTTAGTTACACGTATGTAACTTGTTTCCGATTCCCGACGTTTCGGGTGCTTTGCAGCACCTATCGTCACGGTCACGGTGTTACTCTCTTATACTCTTGTTCTTTTTAGCTCCCTGAATCTATTTTTGGATAAAACCATTTTAAGAATACAACATTGACTATTATATATATATTGTTGGAATTTAATATAGGGTAGTTTTATTTACCACTGGTTCGAAAATATCGCTTTATTGGGTATAATTAGTAAGAAATCCAACAGGACTTTAAAAAACAAAGACAAATAATTAGACAAATCATATTAGAAATATATATATAATAAAGGGCTGTAATGATGATGATGATGATTAGAAATACCTTGGAAGCGATCATCCATTATTCCCAGGCGTTGTATGATATCATCTGTGTTTTCCTTTATATTCTAATGAGCCCCTTTTGTAAACACTTTATTAAACACATTTTTTGTAATAGTTTTCTGCCGTGTATTGAATTTTATAATGGAATAGCGGAAAAGTAGGTATGTATGATATTTTCATTAGGTTTTGTTTATCCTGTAGTAGAGATACATTAAATTGTGAGACTAATAATATATTACTATAGCATGTGAGCATTTTCTTCGTATATATTAACCATGAGTTATCATCTGAAATATCACTCTGGGATACACACACACCATGAGATATCACTCTGTTAGTGCATTTGCTCTATTTGTGCAATAAGATGTTTGTTACTCCAATTTTAAAATGATAATAATATTAATTTTATTTCACCTATTACATTCGCACGTGTTTCAGATACCTTGCTTTTTGTGTTTTTCGTTAGAAAGTGTTTCGGTTAACAATAAAATTGTAAATAGAAATATTGTAAATAATTTAAAGTATTGCCATTCAGCGGAGAAACGCAGCCAGCGTTCTTGGCACGATACCGCGGGTAGTAGGACTATATGATAATTAAGTTACTAGTTTTAGTTTTTTTATTATAGTTTATAATTTAATTATCAATTGAACTCCTTGAATCCTTCAACTCCTCAACAACATTAATGGACTAGCGATCAAAGTAAACACTTCGTCGACAGTGATAACGGTCGTTAATGAATATGCTAAGATTTTGTTTTAGTATTATTTGTATTTAATATTTCATTTTCAACCATTTTTGTTTCATTTTTACCTAAAAGCTGAAAGTAGCCTGTGTTAAATATGGCGTCAGCACCCCAATTTTTGCCACTTGTGGAAAAAACTTAAAAGGACGTTTAATAAAAATATTGTACTATATTTTTAGCTATTCTCTTTTTGTTAATGTAATTTGAAATTATTTGTACATTATTTCAAATTACTATAATATGTGTTTTCATTTAGTTGGGAACTAAAAATTAATTCTACTGGATGTTTAATGTAGCGATCTCGAGGGACAATGACTTGTTTACTTGCGGTGTGAATACCGAAAAAGAAATGGAGTTCCCACGTTATATATTGAAGTAGGAAAGTTGGTATTGTTTTCATTTCCATTGTTCTGCAACTTGTTCTCGTGTGATATACCTTTGATTCCACCATGTGTGGTTAATAGAAATGTAGCCGAATATATTAGAACACGTCATTAATTGAGAGATTGGGTTACTAAGTTGCCAAATAATATTTACCTACTTATGCAACTTGAATTGCTTAATGATTTAAAAGTTTGGCCATGAGTTCTTGAAACATTTGAAACCCACATAGGTAACGTTTGGCAAATTTGCATGATTAATATGAATTTCATTTTCAGAGTGGCATACCTATATATTTTTTTGGAATAAAGTTCGTTATCGCACGGTACGAATTTGTAGGATAGGGGTTAGGCGAGAAAAAGTGTAAGATTTTTCCGTCACAACCCCTTTCAATAGTGCGAGCGAGATGGAATAATATCCATCTCCCTCGCACTTTTTCTTATCTTGCAAAGAAAAAAATATTATTTTAAATGACGCTTCATTTTAATTCATTTATTTGTATTTGTTAATCTTCTATACAAATAAATAAAATTGAAGTGTCTGTTTGTAATATCACAATAACAGTTTTTTACTAATTGCATATGAAAGTATATACGGTACTTATAACAAAAACAATTTTTTTTTATTTTTGTATGTCTGTGTCTGTCTGTTTGTCTGTTTGTTTGTTCCGGCTAATCTCCGAAACTGCTGGCCTGATTTTGACGGGACTCACTGGTAGATAGCTCATGTTATAAGGAGTAACTTAGGCTACTTATATTTTCGAAAAATAATTAGGGTTCCGCGCAACAAAATTAAAACCCTAAATAACACGCGGGTGAAGTCACAGAGAACAGCTAGTCATCAATAATATAATACGTTTATCAATAATTTATAAATAAAATTGAAGTGTCTGTTTGTAATGTCAAAAAAAACAGCTTTTTACTATATTCATATGAAATTATATACGGTACTTATAACAAAACCATAATTTCTAAAATTATTGTCTGTCTGCCTGTCTGTTTGTTCCGGCTAATCTCCGAAATGGCTGGATCGATTTTGACAGGACTTTCACTGGTAGATAGCTGATGTTATAAGGACTAACTCAGGCTACTTTTATTTTAGAAAAAGAAGTAGGGTTCCGCGTAAAAGAGTTAAAACCCATGAAATCCAATCGTAACAAATTACACGCTGGCGAAGTCGCGGGGAAAAGCTAGTAATATACTACGAAAGGAACTTCGTCCCAACCGAGTGTTCCACAACACTCACGCATGTTTTTTATTTATTTTTGATTAAAACTTACATTTATAACAACCATAACTTACATAATATGTGCATACCAAAACGTTATAAAACTGTGCTTTGTGTATTGTTATGTGGTAAAGATAGTTGGAGATGTTTTTATTTAATAAACTATTTATAAGGAAACTATAGCTTGCTTATAAATACTTTAAGATTTTTACTACATGTTTAATAATTAGAATCGAAGTGACAAACGAGCTCACGGTCCACCAAATGGTTAGTGGCTACTTACCTGCGGCCAACTTCACACAAACAAGGCTACAGATGCGTTTCCACCTGTAAGGACTAAGCTGGAATGTCTCTCTCCTGAACTACGACAGCTCACACAGAATGTCTCACAGCCTGTCATTCTCTCTACATCCTTCAGACGGGAATAAAGCGGTGCAAGCACGGCTATTTACAAATATGTAAACGGTTGGTTATGCCGTTGTTTTTTTTTACAGGTTAAGGGTGATAAGCGAGCACAAAGTCCACCTGATTGTAAGTGGTTGCTGTGGCCCATAGATATCTACATCTATCCTCGTTTGCGAATTAAAAAATGCAGATGCGTCGTCACCCGTGAGGACTAACATGAAATGTCTCTTTTAAAATTAAAAGGGGTCTCCCGTTCTCTACGCTCACCATACGAAACACAACAGCGTTAAGCTGCTATTTTACGCTGATATTCTGTGAGAGCGTGGTCCATCCCCGGTCGAGCTGACCCATTCGTGCTACAACTATACAATTAATATAGCTGCAGCATGGCTCTACCACGTATAATAAATGTAAGCACTTTCAAACTTTTTGAATATGCTTAGCATTCTGGCAAATTTATTCAACGTTATCTTTTTGCCATCTACCGGGTCCAATTGTAAATCTAAACTATTCTTGAATCAACTTAACTTTTAATTTCATCAAAATCGGTTCAGCCGTTTTTTCGTTCAGCATTTCAGTCACATACTCACGGATAGAAGAATTATGTATATAAAGATGGCCACAGATACATTAGAAAATTAATTTATCCACAGGAGTTCTACCCCTGAACTTGAGTAAATTTTCCTGTCTTACACAGACTGTAACTATACTGGCTCTCTTACCAATCAACTGGAACACAATACAAGAATTCAAGTTACCATATTATAGTTGTAGCACGAAAGATTCGGCTCGATTAGGGAAGGGCTACGCACTTGCAACGAGGCATTCCATAGTTCTCAGGGGTGACAACGCATCTGCATTTTGATTCTTTATCGAGACTAGATGTAAATGTCTCTGGGTTACAGCATCCGCATACCATCAGGTGGAATGCCTCATTTCCAGTAAAAAGGGTCTCCGGTACTCTACACTCACCAAACGAAATACAGGAGTGTTGAACTGCTACTTTACGCTGGTATTCTGTGAGAGCGTTGTCCTTCCCTGGTAGAGCCGACCCATTCGTGGTACAACTGTACTTTTGATCTTTCATTCTTGTTTTGTTATGTTATGTTATGTCCTACCTAGAATGACTCCTAGGCAGAAAGTACTCCTATGATCTAGTTCATAAAAATGTGGTCTTTTAAACAGAAATCTCAATAAATGTACTGTTAACACTTTCACTGTTCGGTTTTCAGACAATAGCAATGACCTATATGTAGGGCACGGGACAGCGAAAGGGTTAAACATATAAGCTTAAAAGTACTTACGCTCAGGTGTGACCTCACGTAGAACGATGCTGCTCTGCAGTTCCTGTTGGGCCGGCATTGTTATGAATGTTCACCTTATGTTATTGAACTCTACGCAAGTGAACCACTAAATTCAATTCAATAATGTTTCTCGACACTTGTGGTTTTAAAATTGACTCTATGCGTCTCGTGATAAATTTTAAATTGCACTTTCTCTCATGTTTATAACACCAATGTTTTGTTTTGATGATGTTGGAACGCACGGCTACCCCTGTTCAGAGATCGTGCGAGACTGAGATGTAATGTACTTTGGGAGGCAAGCGCAGAGAAGCGCTGGCGATAGATAATACGACTGCGTGCTCTGTTGTACATTTTATAAGCTTGGCTCCGTTTGATAAGAGTGACAATAATATATAAGTACGTCATGTGAAGAAAGAGCAAATTTCTAGATAATGAGAGATGTGAAACATCACTAGCGGAAAAGGATCTTTAGATATAAAATTCCGGTGTACGTGTGTAATTCTTTCTCTACTAAACGGCTTGACCAATTTAGAATTTTTTTTTATGTAGAACTTATTGGGTCACCAACAAATGTTTCTTATACATATATACTATATAGTTGGACCTAGTAGGTGATGCTGCTGTCGAGTTTCAGAAATCACCCGTACGAATCGGGGGCGATTCGCTAGTTGTTATCAAACGACTTCAAAAAAGGAGGAGGTTCTCAATTCCACTGTATATTGTTATGTGTGAGTTCAGAAATTTTTTCTAGGTGAACCGATTTTGATGATTCTTTTTTTTTATTTGAAAGCTGATACGTTTCATGTGGTCGCATATAAATTTGATCAAGATCTGATTAGTAGTTTTTGAGTTACCCTTAATAATACGTATTTAATTGACTTCGACTACATTGATGAAGTTCTCATTTTATTTATATTGAAGTCGGTTGTACAATTTTTTTTTACCTCTTGTTATAAATGTATTCGATGGTTGTATAACGCAGCGGTGAGCGTATCTGCCTGTCGAGTTATAGAACCTGGGGTCGAATAAAAGTTGGAACCGTTATTTGTGAATAAGATAGGTTTATTACACCAAGTATTGATGTCTTGGTCGCCTTTGTTCACATTAACTCTTTCCTCTGTAAGCATCTAAATGTGCTATTCCTGTACTTGCGCATTTTACATGTCTTGTGCACATGATAACTGCTATGCGTTTTATAACATACATAATATACGTCACGCCTGAAATCCCTGAGGGGGTTCCAAAGGGCAGCGAGCCACTCGCTCCACGTTTAGCCAAAAAAAGGGGTATAGATGGAAAATTGTGAAAGAAGTGGCCTATCGCCTACACAATCACAAACCCAATATCCCGATATCGCTTTTTACGAAATGCTAGGCAAGTAATACAGTTGGTAAATGCAAATTCTTTTTATTTATCAGGCCCACGTTTTAATTTGAGTTTTTTTTTATTACGGTAATAAATATTGTAAATTTAAAAGTTATTTGTGTAGATAATCTATAAACAGATTTTATTTTTAATAAAGTGCCAACTTATATATATATAAAATAAAACTAGAATATATTCGTTTAACGATTCGTCTTCGTATGTAGTTTTCTTTGTGTTTTGTAACCAGCTTTTGGCATATAATATGACACACAATACTTAATATTTTGCGAAATCCGTTTTTCCCTAAAAATTAAAAGCAAGAAATTAGTCAAAGTCTGGTCAAAATGAAATATTTGAAATGATAAAGATCAAATTTTCTTATTCCAATAACAAAGAACTATAATAATATTGTTCTTCTGAACTAGAATTAAGTATAATTATTATTAATTAATTTATTAATATATACAATATTTAAAAAAAAAACTAAGACTAATAACTTAATTATCATACAATCCTTCTACGTAAAACAAGTTAGTATTTTGACTGTAACATTGTCAAACGTATAATGTGTAGAGAAAAAAGCAACACAAACATCATTAAAAACTTCTAGGTAGTTCAAGTGTAAATTACCCAGGCAAGTGACTTTGAGCAGTGTCAAAGGTTCGAGACCTCTGGTACTGCGATGAAATATACTTCCTACAATAGAGGCACGTGTTCAGTGTTAAAGTGAGGAAATCTGCATATCTAAGAAATTATGCTTGCCGATGAAATGTGAAGTTCGCCAATAATTCATTGCAAACGCGACGGATTCGTAATGACAGTGATGAGCCGTTTGTGATAGTTGTGGGACGTTTAGTCTGTTATTTTACTTTTCTACTTACTTCAAAAACAAGGTCTGGCTAATAGTTTTTGAGTTATCCTTAATAAATATATATTGAAGTGGGTTATTCCTAATTCTATTTTAAATTTCTACTGAATTGATTAAAATATTAAGTTTTAACAGAAAAAAAATATGAAAAAAAAATATGATTTAAATCAAAATTATGTAGGTAAACAAAGTAACTGGTTATTAGCGATTTTGGCAGACTTAGACCCTTATTTTACTTAGTTCAGTTCACTTTGGAGTATTTTGTATTTATTGTATGTATTTATTTTATAGAATATTAGTGAAAACTAATAGACAGTCTACCTGATGGTTAGGAGATTCTGTAACTCATCGACACCTACAGCTGTCCTCAATTGGAATCAAAATGCAGATGAGTTTTCACCCATGAGGACCAAAATGGAATGCCTCGTGTCCAGTAAAAGGGGTCTCTGTTTCTCTACTCTCACCATACGAAACACAGTAGCCTTATGCTGCTATTTTACGTTAATCCAACGTAAATTTAGCCGGCCCATTGGTGCTACAACTATAATATAATTGCAGAGTGACTCTACCCCATTGACAAAAGCGTAGTACTATTATTTATTATGTGACAAAAGTTCTCTAGTTTTACACGTAGTAGAGCCATGATGTAGCTATATTGTGGTTGCAGCATGAATGGGTCGGCTCGATCGAGGTAGGACCACGCTCTCACAGAATACCAGCGTAAAATACCTAGTCAGGTCATAAGTATTGTCACACAGTAAAAACTTTTCTTTTAAAATGCTGGCCACAAAAAAGTTTTTTGAATTCGAATTTCGAATTGTTCATGAAAATAAAACTGTATACTTTTTAGAATTTTACTCATTTTTAAATATGGAGTGGACGCTTAAAGAAGACCGTGTTGCAGTTATTGCGTTGCATCGTTGCGGTTACGCGCCAATTCAAATTTTTGACATACCGAAAAATTTGAATATAACCAAAAGATTCATTTATCGTACCATCAAACGATACAATGAAGACTCTAGTCTAGATGACAGGTCAAGAAGTGGTCGCCCTCGGTCTGTTAGGACTCCAGCAGTGATAAAAGCTGTGAAGGCGCGAATTCAAAGAAATCCCAAACGTAAGCAGAAACTGTTGGCTCTTCAGATGGGGTTAAGCAGAACCACGGTGAAAAGGGTGTTAAATGAAGACTTAGGGCTTCGGGCATATCGAAGAAAAACAGGACATCGTTTGAATGCTCGTCTAATGGACCTGAGACTGAAGAGATGCCGCGCTTTGTTGAAGCGGTACGCGGGAAAAAAATATCGAGAAATTCTTTTTTCGGATGAAAAAATTTTTACCGTAGAAGAGAGCTACAACAAAATGATAAGGTGTACGCACACAAAAGTGAAGAAGCGAGCAACCGTATTCCGCGTGTCCAAAGAGGTCATTTTCCATCCTCGCTTATGGTATGGTTGGGAGTTTCTTATTGGAGCTTAACAGAGGTACATTTTTGTGAGAAAGGTGTAAAAACGAATGCAGTTGTGTATCAAAATACAGTCCTGACGAACCTTGTGGAACCTGTTTCTCATACCATGTTCAATAACAGGCACTGGGTATTCCAAGAAGATTCGGCGCCAGCTCATAGAGCGACGAGCACACAAGACTGGCTGGCGGCGCGTGAAATCGACTTCATCCGGCACGAAGACTGGCCCTCCTCCAGTCCAGATTTGAATCCGTTAGATTACAAGATATGGCAACACTTGGAGGAAAAGGCGTGCTCAAAGCCTCATCCCAATTTGGAGTCACTCAAGACATCCTTGATTAAGGCAGCCGCCGATATTGACATGGACCTTGTTCGTGCTGCGATAGACGACTGGCAGCGCAGATTGAAGGCCTGTATTCAAAATCACGGAGGTCATTTTGAATAAACTTTAGTGTCATAAGAATCTATGTTTTGTTAAGTTAATTTTGGTATATAAATGGTTACATAATGAATAAACTTGTTTCAATTATTTTATATTAAACATGTGACAGAATTTATGACCTGACTAGGTAGTAGCTCAAAGCTGCTGTGTTTCGTATGGTTAGTGTAGAGAACCGGAGACTATTTTTACTGGAAATGAGGCACTCCATCTTAGTCCTCAGGGGTGACAACGCATCTGCATTTTGATTCTTGATGGAGGATATTTGTAGATGTCAATGGACGACAGCATCCACTTACCATCAGGTGGACTGTGTGCTCGTTTGTCACCCTTATTCTATAAAAAAAAAATACTAACCGCGGCAGTATTGCGCTATAATAAAAACATTTTTTCACGCTAAGAATATCTTTTCCTATTAGAAATAATAAGATTTGTGATCCTTTATTAGATTTGTTCTAAACTGGCAACTATAAAAAGCTACTTAGGGGAAAATTTCAGATATTAGAATAAAAGAGATCTTTTCACGTCATTGCGTTTTAGCCGACTTCAAAAAAGGAGGGAGTTCACAATGTGACTGTATCTTTTTTATGTTTTTTCATATCTATGTTACGCGATACCTTCGCCAATTGAGACCAATAACGGTGCAAAATAGGGAATGAAGTTTTTAATGTAAGTATTTAGGCGACATTGAGATTGTGATATACGATTACCTTAGTCCCCTCGAAATGGTAAACAATTACTTTTAACTAAAAGTAAAAGCCGATTTCAAAGAACATTCTGAAGTCGTGGCTTTATTTTTTCTATACACTACTACTACTACTAGCTGGTACCCGACGCGTTAGAGCCGTAGAAGAAATAGTTGTGGAAATATCGTTTTAAATTTTGAAGAGTTATATTGTTTAATTAAGAATGATAATTAATGAA